GTAGAATTCTTTATGAACTCGTTTATTTAACTGGATAGTCAATTTTTTTTGGTTTTTTAGTGATGCTCCGAAAGCATTTCTCAAAGCCATTCATATGGTTCTCCATAGAAAAATCATCTTAGATCTTGAGGATAAAAGTGGACATGATGTTTTTCGAACCGCATATGATAACAGGTAATATAGTGAGTATATTGAATTTTCTATTCCATGATTTTCTCATAGTGTAAATGAAATTTGACTCACTATCCTCATTATTATACGAGATGGTTCTAATGGTTCATCAAAAAGCAAAAAAACTTATCAAAAAGAACATGTATAAGGAGGCACATGATGTGTTGATGATGGCTGAGGTATGCATTGCTGCCTTATTTGATTGTTTTGTCATACTAAAGAAGCATATGCATTTTAAGATATCTACGTGTTCGTGTAAATCGATGTGAGGCCTATAAATATCCCAAAAGAGGTTTATATCAAGGGCCTCCGGGTTTCAGTTTGGCCCCGGGCCCTGAAATCTCCGGACTGGCCATGACTTCGAGGGGTGGGCTTAGCGAGGGTAGCTTGTAGATGGCGGCATGGAGACCGGAGATCTTCTCCACAAGAGCAGCTACCTTATTGTTTTGGGCCTCCATATCACTTGACTGACAAGTATTAATGGCTGATGTTGCAGTGCGAATGTAGACTAATGCTATGATCAATGGACACTACTAGGATCGCCTGCTTTGTCGAGTGCCCAAGACACTAGGTAAAGGACAACAAAAAAACTCAACAATGCCTTTGCTAGTTGATGCTTGAAAATCTTACTCGTCGCAAGCACCTCCGTTGAAACTAAATCTTGGCCATTTCGCCAAGCTGCAAACTGAACAATGTCTGCACGACTTTCTTTTATTTAGGGCATCTCCAGCCGTTGGCCCTCCACGGGGCGTCTAAAAGCGCCGCCTGGGGGTGAGCCGGCGCAAAAAATGGTCCTGGATGCGAGTCGGTCCCCAGCCGTCGGCCCCCAGGCGCGTATTTAAAAAAAAACCGTTCGGCGAAGTTATGATAAAAACTAGTTATATTTCGGCCAACCATGGCAAGTTTTAGCGAAATTCGTCCAAACATTACATTAACCTAATCTAAAGTAAAAGAAACTGGCTGAAGTCGTCGCCGCCATCGTCGTCGCCGCCATCATCGTCGTCGGCCTTCTCCTCCTTGACGCGGGTGCCCCTGCTGGACCCCTGCCCGGTGTCGCCTTGGCGAACAGGCGGCGGCGCGTCGTCGTCGTCGTCGCTGTCGCATAAGACGACGACCCCGCCTTCCTCGCGGCCGCGTCGGCGCTCCTCGAAGCGGCGTAGGGCGGCGCACTGGCGCTCCTTCTCCTTCTCCCGGCGCGCCTTCTCCAACGCGATGGAGTCCTGGCGCGCCCATTCGAGGGCCGCGTCGTCGTCCTCGAACTCCGCGTTCATCGGCGCCAGCCCCGGCTCCGTCTTCACCGGCGCCAGCCCCGGCTCCGTCTTCACCGGCGCCAGCCCCGGCTCCGTCTTTGGCTTGACGAAGCGCGGAGGAGCCGACGAGGACGAGGCGCGCCGGCCGCCCCCGTTGATGACGATGTCGGCGCTGCGAGTGTGCCGGCCGAGCGGCGTCTCCGCCGTGGGCTCGGCCTTGACGCCGAGCAGCGCCGGAGAGCCGGAGGAATGGGAAGAAGAGCGCGATGAGAAGGAAGAAGAAGAAGCGCCGAACCTCCTCGGCGCCCATGGCCCGACGCGTCGGTGCTGCGCCGGGGCGGCCACCCTCGCCGGGGGGTACGCCAACGGCGGGTCGTTGCCGCCCTCGAGGTATGTGAGCACGCCCTCGAGTGTGCGGCCGGGGACGCCCCACCAGAGGTGGCGCCCCTCGCTGTTCTGCCGGCCGCCGACCACCGGAGCGCCGTTGGTGGACGCCAAGCGCTGCTGCTGGCGGCGCTGGAAATACGCCGCCCAGGCCGCGTGGTTGTCGGCGGCGTACTGGGGGAGGGAGCGTTGGGCGTCGGTGAGGGACGCGCGCACGATGTCGACCTCCTCGGCGAAGTACCTCAGCTTCGCCACGGCGTGGGCACTCCCCCGGCGCTGAGCCTCCACCCCGTTGGCCCGGCGCGCATGTCCGGCGGCGCCGGGATGTTCGCCTGGAACAGGAGCCAGGACTCCTGTTCGCGGAGCGAACGGCGGCCGAAGCCGTTGGCCGCCGCCTCGTCTCCGGGGAAGCGTTCTGCCATGGCGACGGCGGGGCTGGGTGGGCTCAGGAGAGGTAGAGGGAGGGGCTGGGCGGCGGCGCTCGGGAGAGGCAGGGAGAGGGAGGGGCTGGACGGCGGCGAGGGGGGGCTGGTGTGGGCACAGGCGAGTGGAGGCCGCCGGCTTTTATAGCCGGGCCGCGCCCGTGTGTACGCATGCGAGGGAGGGGAGGCGTCGGCGCGCCGTCCCGTGAAGCGCCGCCCGTGAGGAATCAATGGCAAGGCTGGCCGGCGGCAGCCTTGCCATTGATTCCCCGCGGGAACCGAGGCCGTTGGGGGAAGACGAGGCGCCGAGTCGCTGACGCGGCTGGCCCGCGTCTTTTTCGCGCCAAAACAGTTCGCCCCGGCGCCCCCGTGCGCTCCCCAGCGCGCCGGGTTCGGGCTGGGTCCACCGGCGCTGTTTTCGGCCCAAGCCGGCGAAAATCGGGCTCCTGGGGGCGCGACTGGGCCGTTTTTTCGGCGCCGGCGCGAAAAAATCGCCTGGGGAGGCCTTCCTGGGGGCGCGGCTGGAGATGCCCTTACTAGATGATACCCCGCATGTTGTTGCGAAAATGTTTAGCAATATATTCAGTTAGAATTGGTTGTACGGAACATGAATATTTGGAGTAATAATATGAGAACCAAAGCTGAGAGTAAATATGATTTGTGGTGTTTGATTATTGTATAATGTAAAAATCATAATAGAATGTAAATTCTCATGCATGTTTGCATGTTGATGTGGCTTTTTATAACAATATTGCTAAGTCTTAGTCGATGCTATATTCATAAGATTTACATTGAGATCCATGCAAAAAAAATCTTTAGTTTTTTCTTTTTCTCTCTTACATGTTATGTCACTTGACTGAGACATTGTTAAATCTTAGTCGACTGATAGCTAGCCACACCCTTTTTATTATGCATGGTTGCATGTTGTGGTGGACCTTTCTCTATGCAGTGGGGACTAACTATTTAGATATACATAAGATTCGCCAAGTGATCATGTTATTTGTTACGGTGCTTGCAAGTTGACCATGTTAGCTATCAGTGGTTGCTAGAACAATTACCAGGGACCTGGAGCTGGAGAAAGACAGGCCGCCGAACGTCTCACGCCTCACACAAAGAGCCAATTTCGGCGCACAGAGCTGGATTTCCAGATGTCGGAGGATTTGCCAGACATGTGCCGTACCTAACTCCGAGAAGAAGCCAAAAAGAGGAACAAGATGAGAATAACTGGAAAGGTGGTGAGGAATCACCGCATGTGCTGGTTGCATTGCAACCATGTTAAGTACGAATGTAGACTAGTGCTGTGATCAATGGACACTACTTGAATCGCCTGCTTTGTCGAGTGACCCAGACACTCGGTACAGGACAACAAAACTTGACAACGCCCTGGCAAGCTGATGCTCGAAAATCTCACTCCTCGCAAGCACCTCCGTAGAAACTAAATCTTCGCCATTTCGCCAAGCTGCAAATTACTCAAGGAAGCGCACGTTCTGCGGCTTGCTGGAGAAATATCAATGTGTGCCTCTTTTTTTTTATTCGCCAAGTGACCATGTTATTTGTTATACGGTGCTTGCAAGTTGACCATGTTAGCTCCTCCAACCTCTCTCAAGTGGTTGCTAGAACAATTACCAGGGATATGGAGCTGGAGAAAGACAGGCCGCCGAACGTCTCATGCCTGACACAAAGAGCCAATTTCTCCGCACGGGAGCCAGATTCCAGGATTTCCAGATGTTGGAGGATTTGCCAGACATGTGCAGATGCCGTACCTAACTCCGAGAAGAAGCCAAGAAGAGGAACAAGATGAGAATAACTGGAAAGGTGGTGAGGAATCACCGCATGTGCTCGTTGCATTAGCAACCATGCTGTTAAGGCTGTTACCCTCGTCCTTGCATCTTGGTGACCAGCCCATGGTTTGGTAGCTAGCTGCACAATACAAAATTTGGGATCGGGGGATAGCCCGGTAGGTAGATAAAAATATAGTCTCAAGCATCGACCCAGATCTGAATGCAGAGTAGAGTTGTCAATCAACAAAAGCAATTAGATTGAGCATTTTATTCAGGAAGCGTTCTTTACAACAAAAAGATCTATAGTGATCTATTCAGATGAGCTGAGAGGGAAGAATGAAAGACAGGAAAACATGTATAGATAGAAGCTACTAAAAGCATTAGCTTTAGTGAGCAAGTTGTATCCTACTCCCTCCGTCAGGAAATACTTGTCGGAGAAATGGATAAGGATGGATGTATCTAGAACTAAAATACGTTTAGATACATCCATTTCACCGACAAGTAGGAGGGAGTAGTAAATTTACTTAACATGATTAACCATACTCTACTCTAAGGGTTAGTGGTGAGGGCCCGTGGACGAAGGATCAACTGTTGCAGCCACATTGGCATGGTCCAGATGTGGACATCGACCCATTGGTTGGGAGCCTGACTACATCCAATCCCGGACCCGGGACTACCCGCTGCACTACCAGTTTATCCCACCAATGCGGGAGAGGAGATCTGTCACTGGATCGATCTGTGCCAAGGCCATCACTTTGTGAAAGATCAAGGCTGCCAGCATGCCACCGCCACCATCCAGCCCGAGCCGCGACGATGAGGGCTAACACCTCCCCGTCCGAGAGAACTAGTCTTCGCCACCAGTGAGGGAGGAGGACGGGGACAGGGCATGGGTACCGCGCATGCCGCTCCCCTAAGGACGACCCGATCGAGTTACATACAGGTTCCTTCCTTACACACGATGGTAACATGCTTACATGCATGACATTAGTGAATTATACTACATCATCTCTTTGGGCAACCGACGCTTGGTAGATGTATTCTGCCATAAGCCACAAGATGGTCGTCAACTCGCCACCACTGTTGAGCTTCTGGGCATGGGACTCCCTGCTGCACTTGTTGCTCGCGTAGACGAGAATGTCCATCCACACGTCAAGGACAAGCTCCAAGGAGTCTATCGTGCCATCCTTCTCCTTCTCCAGCAGCTCCTTGGCGAGTTGAGCCATGTGAGTGAGACGAGGAGCAAGGTGGCTGAACTCCTGGTCCTCGTATTCATCGTACAGATTGTTGGCGAGCTCCTCTCTCTCGGCAACCCTAGAAATGCTCGAGTGTGGGGCATCAAACACACGGAACAGATCCTTGACGACGCGTGCACGGCTAGGGTACCTAGGATCAGTCGATCTCCTGGTGACCAGCCTCTCGCAGGTCCGCTGGTACAACCTTTTCTGGGGCTGGCCTGGCAGCATGTAGGGACGTTCCACCAGGAGAAACATCATATAATCGGACATCACCCTGATGGCGTGCACGTCAGGCGCGGCGTCCATGGCTTTGGCTCTCTCGCTCTTGGTGAGGAAGACCTCGGTGGCGATGTGCCAGATGATGATGCCCTCCTGAAACTCGATGCCGAGGGAGTCCTTGAGGATGCCGCGGTAAAGCCCGCGGCGGCCTAGTGGGTACTCACCCCACTTCTTCCCCAGCATGGCAGCGTTGAACCTGCCCTTGCTGTACAGTCGGCTCATGTACACAGAGATACGACGCCTGATCGGATCGGTCATCTCGACGGTCGCCGAGTAGTGCTTCCTGTTCCACCACTCATCGGGTGCCAGTGCCCTGGCCAGCCTCCCAAGCAGAGGGCTGGTGAGCGGCGTGTCGGCGGGGCGCGTGCACAAGTGCAGCAAGTTGTACTGCCCGATGGTGTATGACCACCTTCTGGACGTGTACCTACTGTTACCGGCAACTCCTCCCTTGACAAGATCATGAAGCCACACGACGGCGCGCCGGAGCTTGTCCCATCTCTTGTTGCACAGGGCTGCGTACCGAAGCCAATTCCACCGCGTGGTGCTCAGGAACGCGAACGTCCACGACGATGCCAGTGCGTTCAGGAGCGACGTCGTCTCCATGAACACGGCGCCACCCAGCAGGACGTAGGTGATGGCCACGTCGGCTCTGAGGTAGCCATCCTTGGGGGTGAACCGGAACAGCAGCAGCGAGGTGGCGACGGCGAGCGGCGAGATGAAGCGGATTAGGTAGCCCCGGAAGGTGTGCACCACGGCCGCCTTGGTGTACAGGATGTCGTACATGAGGGAGAGCTCTATCTCCATCAGCGTCCACAGCTCGACACGTTGTATCAGCTTGCTGGTGTACTCTTCTAGGCCGTCCATGTCCATGTAGTCTTCCTCGACCACTGAGGAATCGACCATGGCGCGCTTGCAGATGTGGAACAGCGAGTGGGCTCGTCGCAGGTGGAACTCATCCCCCGGAGCTTCGTCCTGAGGGTGGACATGGTTGTGGATGGCGGGCGGCTGCGTCCTGAGGGAGGCGCCTATGCTCTCCAGGGTGCTGCACTTGAGCGCCCACGTCCTCTCCCCGTACTTGACGAAGCCGACGACGAACATCAAAATGGAGGCGATCAGGAGCAGCTTCCTGTCCTGGCCGCCGGCCACGGCGATGTGCTTGTAGAGGACGTAGCCCGCTCCGAGGACCTGCACGACGAGGACGGTGAGGTGGCGGAGCCAGAGCTGGTTGTCCTGCAGCGCGTAGGCGGTGATGTTGTCCGGGCCGCCGAGGTGGAGCAGCAGGAACGGCGCCCAGAACGCGACGAGCTGGTTCTCACGCACGGCGCTGCCGAACGACAGGTGGCCGACGGCGTACACGGCGGTGGAGTCAGCCATGAGGTACGCTAGCCACAGAAGGAACCTCCGCACGGGGAGCGTCTGACGCCGGCGGATCCCGGCGAAGACGAAGAGGACGAGCTGGAGCCCGAGGCTGAGGAGGACCAGGATCTGCATCGACCGGTGGTTCCATAGCACCAGCGGCCCTGCAGCCATACTTATTGATCTTCTCCTCTTGACACTCTAGTCTGCACTGCACTGCACTACCTGGAATGGATGAATTTTCACGGTTTTGTTTCAGACACATGATCAGGAATTAAACCAAAAGGATCCACAAAAATGCGAATGTATAGATAACAACACATTGTCATGTATAATAAACACACGGATTTCGTCCATGAATTTGCTAATTCTGAGTCGCCTGAAGTTTCCATGAGTGACTGTAATCCAGAATTGCACAAACGTACATTGCAGAGTACACATGTGAATTTTCATACGCATAGCAAAAGGCACACTCCCCTCACAAATGTACTTATGTAACTAATAATGCTCGCGATCGAATGCAATTGACAGGGGATGGTGTATGCATAATTACATACCGGCTGGGTAGGAGTAGCGTCGCAGCTTCGAATCCGGAAACCAGCCGATCTTGAGATGATCGAGGGGGCGGCAAAGGAAATTAACGGAGAAAGGCGTAGAGGAGCAGTGGCCAGTGGATGCCACTCCACACTAACCAGCGGACATGCCAATTGATCGGAAGTTCCAACTGGATCTGCTTCTTAAGAAAGGGATAAGGAAGCTTCCTTCGTGGTTTGTATAGTTTGTTGTAGATGTAGATGGATCGGCTCGAAGTCACTGCTAAGCTGGCAGTATCAAATATGTATACTAGAGTACACTAGTATTTATTGTTTTATTCTTGATTTTTTTACTAGGGTACGTACACTTGTACACTTGTAGATTAGATTAAAGTTGTAGTTGCAAGTAGATTAGATTAATGGAGCTGCATCACGTCCCTCCTCTCTCTGGGGTCAAACCGTCACAATGGACAAAATTAGCCTATTTCTATCGGCACTGTGGCAGTGATGGCGTAGCCAAAGATTCCCGCCGGGGACAGCTCCAGCTTCCACCATCGCTTGCTCTTTGGCCTTTTGTGCATATACGAATACGTTTAACAACTTGAAGAGTCCATTCTCGAAAAGAAATAACAATCTGAAGAGTCAATCTTCAAAAGCGCTGCCTTTTACTGAACAAGTCTAAAATCACGAATAATTATTGCATATGACTAGGTAATAGATGAATCCAGGGCAAAAAGCGGGCAAACCGCAAATATTATGCCTGCACCACGAATTCACGATGCCTTCCTTGATGCAATAAAATCATGCGAATAAGGCATAATAAGATATAAGAATTCATGGTGTTTCTCCCTAGCGGCTTACGAAAGCGAACCTTATGTCGTGCAAGAGCAAGCCAATGTTTATCAGAAGAATAAATGGGAGCTTTATTAATAGCATGGTTAGTTATTTTTACTTTAAAATCATAACTAAAATATAAAAATTCCTAACCAAGTTGAGAATGAAGTCCCAACTTATCTGGCTGGTAAAACATCAACTTGCTATTGCATCATTAGCACGACAAGAGAGGTTAGTAAAAGATAGTGATATCTTTCTTTTGAACCGTTGATGCTGTAGAGAAAGAAGAATTTTAAGTATATATAAGGTGAGGTGAGATGGAACATAAGAAAAGATATAAATAGTGCACATAGGCATGACCACATTTAAATAAACATAGGCATAAGTGACCACGTTCAAATTAAGAAATAATTAGCATGTACTTAACTTATAGCTAAATAAACTAAGCACCTAATCAACCTAAACCTAACTAACCCAATCCAAAGCGGATCCATTTCAATCAATTGAATCTAACTAACCATAGAAAAATTTGCTTAACTAAACAAAAAAAATCATTGGCACAAAGGTCAGTGCAACGCGACATTATACATCACTGTGGGAGGGCTCCAATTAAAGAAAGATCTTGATCATGCTCTTGTTATGTCTCGTGTGCTATGCTCCGAGAAGGCGAAGCTTGGGGTTGATCTTGCTAGACTCAACGAGGAGTTTGACATTCTCGACAAGGCTCACAAAGTCTTGAAGGGCATTCATGCTAGCCTCAAAGAGTCTCATGATCAACTCCAAGTGAAGCTAACCAAGGAGAAAGCCACTTTTCCTCATATGGTGTTGATTGATAATGCAAATGCTACTAACCCTTGTTGTGAGCATGTGCATCTTGTTGAGGAGAATGCTAAGTTGAAGGAGCAACTTGAGAAAGGCCTTATCACATGCATACAAGGTGAGAAGAACCTCAACGACCTTTTGAGTAATCGAAAGGAAGTTGTGGCCAAGGAGGGGATTGGGTTCGCACCCAAGCCCAAGAACAAGAAGAAGAATGACAAGACAAAACGACCTCCTCCTCTCAAGCAAACTTTTGTGAGGGAGGGAGAGGGTGCTTCCAAGGAGAAGAAGAACAACGCAAAGGGTGGCGATGCCAAGAAGGGCAATGCCACCCCTCCCAACAAAGCCGGCGATTTTAATCCCTCTTATGTGTTATGCCATGCTAGTGATGGGCACGTTTATGCCAAATTTGTTGGTTCTCCTCATGAGTACATTGAATGGTCTATTTGGGTTCCTCAGACCCTTGTTACTAACATCAAAGGACCCATTACAAAATGGGTACCTAAAACCAAGCATTGATCTCTTGTAGGTGTTTGCTTCCGGTGGAGGATCATGGTTGCTCGATAGTGGAGCTACAAATCATATGACTGGAAGCAAGGACTTGGTGGTGGGCGTGCAAAAGATTCCCTCTATGGCCACCAATGTCGAGTGGGGTGATGCCTCGTCTTCTAAGGTATTGGGACTCAGCAAGGTTGTCATTTCTCATGATCTCACGATCGAGAAGGTCATGCTTGTGGAGTCCCTCGCATACAATTTACTTTCCGTTCGTCAACTTGCAATCATGGGCTTTGCCACTTTCTTTGATATTGATACTGTGGCCCTCTTGTGGAGCAAGACTCTTAAAGTAGCCTTTGTTGGGCATGTCGAGAACAGTCTCTATGTGATTAACTTTTCGGAGGTACCCACTAAGACCGCGACATGCCTAATGGCTAAAGTTGATGTGGGATGGCTTTGGCATCGCCGTCTAGCCCATGTCAATATGAGATATTTGCAAAGTCTTCTCAAGGGGGACCATGTCCGTGGACTAACGAATGTTAGTTTTGCTAAAGATTGTGCTTGCAGTGCTTGGATCGAAGGAAAGCTTCATGAAAAGGCTCACCCTCCCACGACTATCATCTACTCGAAGAGGCCTTTGGAGCTCCTTCACTTGGATCTCTTTGGGCCTCCATCCTTTGATAGTCTTGGGGGTAGGAAGTATTGCTTGGTGATTGTGGATGACTACTCAAGATATACTTGGGTGTATTTCTTCAAGAGGAAGAGCGAGACCCAACAAACCATCATTGACTTTGCAAATGAAGCACAACGTCAACACAATGCAATGATCTTGACAATAAGAAGTGACAACGGCACCGAGTTCAAGAACTACACCTTGGATGAGTTTCTTAGTGATGAGGGGATCAAGCATCAATATTCTGCACCATACACCCCTCAACAAAACGGTGTCGCGGAGAGGAAGAACCGGGCGTTGATGGATGCGGCAAGGACCATGATGGCGGAGTTCAAGTCTCCATACAACTTTTGGGCCGAAGCCATCAACACCGCATGTCATGCATCCAATCGGCTCTACCTCCGCAAGGGCTTGTACAAGACTCCATATGAGATACTCACCGGTAACAAGCCCAACCTCAAGTACTTTCGGGTGTTCGGGTGTCAGTGTTTCATTCTCAAGAAAGGTGTTCGGTTGTCTAAGTTTGAAGCTAGAGCTTATGAGGGCATATTTGTTGGTTATGCTACAAACTCTCATGCTTACCGTGTCCTCAATAAATCCACGGGACTTATTGAGGAGACGTGTAACGTGGAGTTTGATGAGAATAATGGCTCCCAAGTGGAGCAAAGTGGCACTTGTGATGTAGGTGATGAAATTCCTCCTCAAGCCATAAGAAGAATGGGTGTTGGTTTTATCCTACCCGTTGAGGAACCCCTAGTGGCCAAAGGAGAAGGACAATGCTCCACTCATGTGGAGCCATCACCAACCCAAGGCCCACACGCTTCTGACGAACAAAGTGAAGGCCCTCAACCTCATGAACAAGACCAAGGGAAAGATCATGCTCAAGACGATGTTGACACTCCAAGTGATGTCCAAGGTCGAGTTCTCTCCCCCGAGCAAATTCAAGATGAAGAACATGCTCAAGACGGCGCTCAAGATGATCAAGTGACCGCTCCTCAACTCACCCCCAAGGAGGAATTAGAGCGTCGTGCCGCCAAGATTGCTTCCAAGCTTACCACCAAGGGTCATCTCATGAAGAATGTACTTGGAAGCATCCAAAAGGGGGTAAGCACTCGTAGACAATTGGCAAACTATTGTGAACATCACGCGTTTGTTTCTTGTGTTGAACCCCAAAATGTATATGAGGCACTCGAAGATCCGGATTGGCTTAATGACATGCATGAAGAACGCAACAACTTCGAGTACAACAAGGTGTGGAGGTTGGTGCCAAGGCCAACGGGGAACCACAATGTCATTGGTACCAAGTGGATTTTCAAGAACAAACAAGATGCTCATGGAACCATCATTCGCAACAAGGCAAGATTGGTGGCACAAGGTTACTCCCAAGTCGAGGGTATCGACTACGGTGAAACCTTTGCTCCCGTTGCTCGTCTTGAATCCATTCGTTTGTTGATTGCTTATGCTTCTCATCACAACTTTAAGTTGCAACAAATGGATGTGAAGAGTGCCTTTCTTAATGGTCCTATTAATGAGTTGGTTTACGTCAAACAACCCCCCGGGTTCGAGGATCCCTACTTTCCCGATCATGTGTACCAACTCGATAAGGCACTCTATGGCCTTAAACAAGCCCCACGTGTGTGGTATGACCACCTTACCGAGTTGCTACAAGATCGTGGGTTTGAAGTTGGGCTCATCGATCCCATTCTTTTTACTAAGAAGGTCAATGGGGAGTTGTTTGTGTGCCAACTATATGTTGATGACATTATCTTTGGTTCCCCTAACCAAGCTTTCAATGATGAATTTGCCGCACTAATGACCTC